TGCGTGACTTTTGGTCCCACTAATCACTTTTGCCAAGAAAAATTTTAAAATTCTCGATCATATGTTCATCGATGACAGTACAACACAATAAATAAATTCGCGAAATATACACGCAAAAGTAAACTGATTATTTATGTGAATTTGAGCCACCAGGGCCAGCTTTATTGATAACTGCCAAATCAAATTCCAATACAGCAAAAATACAAAAATGTGTGATTATTATTTTTTTATTAATAACATTACGTGCTAGATTAACAAATATTAGGTTATATTGCTAAACTTAATCGATCCACTCCTACTAAATTATTCCATTGGATCTTGCAATAAGCCTGTTCTCCAAAGCGTCTGATTCAACATGGCAAGATCATGAGTTTTTGTTACTAATTTCCCATCTTCTGCACCAACTGGCCATTTTATATGAACATGATTCATAAAGTGAGAATAACGTGCGGAACCAACCTCTCCAGACCACTCAAAATCGATCAATTTCACATCAAAATCATTGTTTTCAAATCGACGAATTAGAATATTTCCTTCACGCAAATCTCCATGTACATGTTCCAAATTATGTAAATGTTCAACCATCTTTTCGATTTTCACTCTTAAAGAATTTCGATCTTGATCATTAAGATTAAAGGCGACGCGATTTAACGTCGAATGATTGTCCAAGTATTCCATATAAACCAAAAGCCAATTTCCAGGAATAATTGAACTAGCAAGGACTTTTGGAGCATATCCAGCTTCTGCTAAGAGCTGATGTGTATTAAGTGAATATTTGCACTTTTGAATAGCCTTTATGTAGACTTTTTTAGGTGACCCTTGTTCGTTAGAAAGAGTAGCTTCCCAAAGAAGATAACCGTCAATATGGCGAATAATCTGAACGCTATAACATTCTCTATCAATTGTTACTTCAGGGAATAAAGGATGCTCAGGGTGGACTGTTCGAGGGTTTTTTTGAGCTTGCTCATCAACTTGGCCATAGTAATGATCAAGAATTTGAAGAGATTTCTTAAAAGCACGAAATGTTCTAGAAATTGACAACATCATTTCATCATGTTTCTGCCAAATGA